CACGTGAATAGGAAAAAAAATGGAAACTTTCTAGCTGTTATGAAGTTTAATGGTTGCCACAACCCCGTCATTGCATTCTTTGTGAAAAATTTAAGACGCCATAAACAAGACGGCTACAGAATGATTACACTTACTTCACTCCATCGTCTTAAAATAAGTTTATCAAAGAGTATGGTGGTCTCATCCAAATTGAAGCTATTGAAGAAATCCAGGATGGGATTTACTTCACAATAATAGTCATTGGCGCCCCCAATATATTTTACACTTTACATAACCTATAATATTTGTTTTACCTCTATGAAAGTCTAAAATGTTAAACTTATTGCAAAACCCAAACGAGAGGAATTTCACATCATCGACTATAAAAAATTGGAGCTCTCTTAAAATAGATCGAGCTAACTCGATCAAAACACTTGCCAAGAGGCCAAAAGAAATATTGGCAGCTCATAAAAAGTAATTATCATCTTTTAAATTTGCGTTGCTAGTTACGATTTAGTACAAAACTTTTACTGTTATTAACGATGTTAGTTGTCTTCTACAGTCTGAAGTTATTATCATTAATAATGAGCTACGTTTGATTGGACAGCTGTCGGAAGATCATAAAGGGATTAGGGCTCTTGGTTGCCAATTTAAAGGGGCTGTAGCTGTAGCTGGACCGCAACGATTCGAAATTAAATTCGCTGCTAAAGGAAAGCTTAAACTGAAGCGCTTTCACAATAAGGTATCAAACACTGTCCATTTCCACGATAGCCAAAACTAAAGGCTTTAAAGTAAAACTTTTTGATTTAACTATTTAAAGTCTAATCAAGCAGATTGATTGGAGACTCGAGGCAAGAAAGAGCGTTAGCAAAATGTTTTCATTTTTCTGGTTGAATAAAGATGGTCTTTTCATTTAAAATGAAGCTTGAAAACTTGCGCGGTTTTATCCAAGAGATGCAAACAAAGAAAAGATCATTGGATAATTTTTTCGTTTTAAAAACGGCCGCTAAAAAATTTTCAAGTCAGGAATTTGAATGCAACTTCTCAATCAACTTTTTGTAAAGAAATTTGGCCATCTTTTTTCATATTTGCATCATGCTCCTGATTTTCAACGTATTTCCTGAGTCAGTTGGTTCGCCAGGATTGCGTTACTGATTCTTAGTTATTTTAATTGAGGAAGATTTGGCTAAAAAGGTAAGCTGCAACAATGTCATCAATATTTATGCGGTTAAAATAATTTCAAAAAATTCATTTTAAAGCGCCTTATTATTATTACCTTTTCTTAAAGATTTTCTTGATTTTGTTATGTTCATGGGTTTTAAAACTGATGTTTTGATTCACATGTCAGTTTTGATTAATGAACCGTTTCTCAATTCAGAAAGGTAAAAGTAAAGCAGAAATGCAGTATACTGTATCAAAAATAAACAATTGCTGCGTTTATAAAACTTTTAGTTTTGTAATTTCTTGGTTTGAAATAAAGGCGCCGTTCTCCACTTTTGGCCCGGCTACCATTGAAGCTGTAGAAGACCCTGGTGAAACCCCATCCACTAACATATTAACACAGTGTCCAAAATGTGATGTTATTAGAATCTAAATTCTATTTATGCAGACTTCTCTAATATTGGCAGACATACTATTTTAAAACCAATTACTAGTCTATGATACTTAATTGTTTGATGAGATTAAATCGATTAATAATAACTAAAAACAATAAAAACTAGAAAATTTTTAAATAACGACCTTTATTTGTCCAATTTAAATCATGATTTAAATCAATTTAAATTAACTGATTTAAACTAATCGAATTAAATCAAAACAACACTTTATATAGTCCATCTTTCTGAGGCAGAGAGACATTTTTCTTGGTTTTAATAGCCTTAATTGATTATTTGGATATCGTTCATATTTAGTTAGCGTACAACAGTTAACCATTTTAAGCTTATATATTAACTTTAGTTATAACTTAGTTAATAATGAATTGATTTATATAGCAACGTAAGATTGAACTTAGCAGAAGGCTAAACTTCTGCTCTGCAGAAATGGAAGGCAGCGAAAGTAATCAGCAAAAGTAAAGATTAAAAAGAAAAAAAATTGTGTATATCTTGGTGTAGATGATTCTTCAGATTAATGTAGTAATGATTTATCCTCGAATTCATATAATAATAATAGAAAAAACATTATTAAAATTTGGGATTTACCTATTACTCTAAACTCATTACAGAAGTTTAATGTTTGCTCTCAGAAGTTATTTGGACAAAATTTATTAAATGATATGTTTTTATTATTGGAAATCTTTATTCATAGCCTCAACTTTTACAATTTTTAATGACTTTTTTACATATTATGATCATGGTCTACTATAGTGGCAGGCCTAGTAAACATACGTCTAAAAAAAACACTGTCAGCGAGTTTTAATTTTATAAAGTTACAGTAATATGGCGCGTTTTAAAAAAAGAACGCGGGTTTAAGTTTAATATGCAATACGTTTGAATTTTAGGTATATTAAATTTGCTTTCTTATCAGAGCCTAATAATTAAATTTGAAGAATATAGTTTTTAAGTACTGTGTCACTGGATGCAAAGGTAACTACGATGTTACAAAATCTGTAAAAGTTTTTCGCCTTCCAAATAAAAAAAATGTGGATGAACGAAAAAGATGGATAAGTGCTATACCCCGATATATTATTCCAGATAACCCAAATACTTTTATTTCTGAAGATCTTTGGCCTAAAGACTATGAAAAAGCTTTAGTTTACGGAAAGTTAAGACCAAAACATCCACCATCTGTATTTTCTTGTGTAAATCCAAATCAAATTCCGACTCCTCTTGTACCACCAAGACGAACTAGTTAATAATCGCCATCTTTAAGAAGTACTTTGCCTGATAAAATAGAGACTTTTGTGAAAGCTGATAATACTTCTTCTTTCTAAGATTTAATAAAATAATGTCTAAAACTATATCTTTTTCCTACTCAATAATATCAAGTATCAATGAAAATTGTTTACATCTTCAATCTGCTGATACATTCGACAACTTAAGTGTTCCAAAGTTTATTTTAAAAATAAGAGAAGATTTATTCTTTGATAGCTATCACTGTGGTGTTAAGTGCACTATAAAACCTTTTCTTACAAGCATATGAATATTGCTGACTGTATTAGTCGTCTCCATGCTGCAACTCACTATCTGAATTCTTAACTAATCGATCACAAGAAAAATATTATTGTTGAATACACGTTAAGTATGAACTCATTAATATTTATTGGTGAAAAAAAGTATTCTCCTGATATGGTTGCTAGGGAATTTGAGTAATTTTCATTGTCAAGAACTTTTAACTCTCGATTACGTGATGACTGTAAACTACCAAGTATATCTTTGATGACAAAGTTGACATCTAAAGTTAGAAATGTTAGAGATGATTTTTTTAAAGTTGTATTTTTAAAAATGCTCTATTTCTCAAAGACATGTTATTCTACTAATTAATGAAATTTATGTTAAACCACAGTTAGCATATCAAGGAGGTAACATTTTTGGTAAATCTGTAAATTCCCCAAATGAGTCATCAAAAACAGTTTTGGTTTTAATGAATTGTTCTTTATTTGATGGAAAAAAGTTTTGTATAAAGCATTGCCAGTAATAGGTTCAGATACTAATTTTCAATATAATCAAACAGTGCAAACAATTGAAGCGATAAAAAAATGTGGTGGTTCTGTTGTTACTATTCTTTGCGACAAGAACAAAATAAATAAAAATCTTTTTCTTTCAATATCCGTAATACTTGGTGCACTAACGATAACATTTTTCTTCTGTATGACTTTGCTCATTTAATAAAATCTATTCGCAACTATTGGCTCACAGAAAAATTCCAAGAACTATGCTTTACTCACAAAAGTAATTTAAGAACTGCAAAATAGTCAGATTTTAAAAAACTTTTTCTCTTTGAAAAAGATGCTATTGTAAAACTGTCTAAACTTAATGAAACAGCAGCTTTTCCTGAACCAATTAAACTTCAAAATGTGTCAACTTGTTTAAGATTATTTTGTAATAAGACTGTAGCTGGTATAAAAACTCATCCATCCATAAAAAATGTTAAAGATACCACAGTGTTTTTATCTATTTTTATCAAAATTTTTTAAAATTGTTAATGTTAAAAGAATTTATGAAGTCATTTGTACTAGAGATAAATATCGTGTTGTTTTTTCATCAAACAATGATAAACGAATGAACTTTCTTTTAAATTTGGCTGATATCGGCGAAAAAAAAAAAAAAAAAAAAAAAAAAAAATATATATATATATATATATATATATATATATATATATATATATATATATATATAGATATAGATATTTATATATAGGTATAAATATAAATATAAATATATATATATTTATATATATATATATATATATATATATATATATATATATATATATATATATATATATATATATATATATATATATATATATATATATATAAATATAAATATATATATATATATATATATATATATATTTAAATATATATTATATATATTTATATACACATATATATATATTATATATATATATATATATATATATATATATATATATATATATATATATATATATATATATATATATATATATATATATATATGTATATATATATATATATACATATATATATATATATATATATATATATATATATATATATATATATATATATATATATATATATATATATATATATATATATATATATATATATATATGTATATATATAAATGTGTGTATATATATATATATACATATATATATGTATATATATATATATGTATATATATATGTATATATATATATATATATATATATATATATATATATATATATATATATATATATATATATATATATATATATATACATAACTTAATATTATATTTCTCAGCGTAATTATTTTAAATTAATATTCAAAACTAGATTAATTATTTTTAATATATGACATTAATATGTTATATTTAAACGAAAATGTGTACCTTTTTTAACTTTACAAATAAAGTCATGCGAAATGTAACAATTCTCTGTTTTCCATTCCGATTTGGTTACTATTACACAAATCTCTTTTTTTTTATCAAGTAACTCTTTGAAATTTGAATACTGTATATACGTATTATCAGACCACAGAAACCAGTTGTTATACCAATTATCAGTAAGACCTATATTATTATCAAAATATTAAATTATATCTGTTTTTATGAACCGCGGATACTAGTATAGTAAAATAAAACATAAAAGTACCAATCCAGTAATTATCTGTAGACGAACTGTAATTTTTTAGAATGTTTGAAATAAATGCATTTTCTGCTTTATCTTCTATGCTTAACAAATTTCCTCCTTTTTCAAGGCAACCTATATACGCCCATTTCCAAGTTCTGCTAGTTGTATTATTTGTATTTTGAAAGTAGTAGCAATTCATACCATATTGAAACCAATTTTCATTACAGCTTTTATTTTTTTCTATATTTTAAAAAATTAAAAAAAAAAGTACAATATATAAAACAAAATTTTTTAGCAATCATAGTTTTGCATGAAGTTTCATTATATTTATATATATTAATACTTTATAAAATAACCTTTATTAAAACAGCATTTTGCTGGGGCTTCAGTAAATAAAGTCATTATAGGGATTTAGCATTTAAAAAAAAAAAGTTTAGACTTAAGAGAGCATTTCCATAAAACTTTATTAACAAATTTATACTCTAATAACCATTTTTACCTGCCCAAAGCTTTAGCCAATGTAGTTAAACAAAAAGGGGTTAATTGGTATAGAGTTGAACTTGGGACAAAACGAGTAATTTTAGATTGTTAGGTCGACTTTAACACACAAACTTTATTTCACAGTTGCTTTATTCTTGAGCTTTTACGAACATTATTTAGAAATAGTAGAGTTGGATGAAAGTTTATTAGCATTGTTATTTTTAGTTTCAGAGAATTTGTAAATTAAAGACTGTCCTTAAACAAAAAGCCCATGTTCCTGAGTTTAGCTCGGATTATTTTATTACCTTTAATGGTAAACTTGGAGTTATTTGGTTTATATTTTATATGAATATAATTATATTTATTGCCTGTAACATGTTTGTTTTATCATTTGTTGTTTTTCCTACTTCATTCTTTGACTAAAGTTAAGTGTCATAGATCTATTAATAATAACACATTAGCTTCTTTCATTTGTTTTAGTTCTATTCCAAAAAATATATTGGCTCGCAAATATACAATTTCAAAAAACTCCTTAAAATATTTTTAAGTAGTTATTTTGCAAACTTACTAAGTCTTGCAAATATAGCATCCGGTAAGATCATAGACTTGAGGCAAGCATGATGCCTCAAGTCTATGATCCGGTATGATCATAAGGCAAGCATGGCAAACTTATGCGATCCAAAGTAATAGCACCTTGGGGAAATAAACGGGCTGAAAAGGTGATAGTATTATTAAATTCCAGTATAGCGTTTCTTTTTTCGGACCTCTTTGACGTTCGTGGAGACCTCAGCTTTAGAGTGAAAGAAGTGTAATAGAGGATTGATACCAAAAGATAATTTTTCAAAGCTGTTAAAGAAAAAAGTAGGTGGAAAATTACAGAAAACGTCAAAGCTGGGTTTAAGGGTTGTAGCTTTTTTCCTTAAAGCCTTAATGAAGTCCTAAAAAAACTTTACATTGGAACAATGTCAAGTAAAGGTGATCTTATAAGGAGTATGTCATGTTATGAAAATTTTTTGAAAACTTTGTAAAACTGCAAAGTTTGTAAATGGAACTCGACTGAAAGTGTCACGTAGGAAGGTCTCTGCAGCTTCTGGAGAGAGTCAAGCATCTTTAAGAGCTGTTGAAGGACATTCCTGATGATAAGCCATTGCTAAAAAGTAGGATGAACCCAAAAATGAACTTGAAACTTCAAGTGATGAGAATTGTTTCATACCAGAATCTACTTTGCACGATGTAAATAGTATCAATGAGAGTGACTTTCTCCAATTTCTAGAGAATTTAAGAAATTAATTAAAAATATTTTATCTATAAAGCAATGAGACAACAATGTGAAATTAATGAGTGATCTTGTTTTTTTTTAAAAAAAACAGTTCTACATGCGACTAAACCTTACTTTTTCCCATTGAACATGATAAATAATCTGTAAAGTGATGTTCTACCATTTTTAAATGCATCTACTGTGTGCAGGCATATTTTTAACACTGTTTCTATTATTAAAATTAAAGTTCATTACAACATGAATGTAATTGATCTAAAATACTATAAATTCCGTTAGATTCACCTATTTGATAAACTCTAATTTACTTAAAAATGTATTAAATGTTGTTTTAATAACTTTTTTTTCAATATACATTTACTAAAAGTTGTTTTTTCATTGTACTTTGGGTTAATATGCTGACTTCCCAACTGTTAGTTGAGTTACGCTATAATCCAAAGCAACACCTTGTTGTAGGGTTACTTGAATTAAGTACAGAGAGAGAGAGAGAGAGAGAGAGAGAGAGAGAGAGAGAGAGAGAGAGAGAGAGAGAGAAGAGAAAGAGAGAGAGAGAAAGAGAGAGAGAGAGAGAGAGAAAGAGAGAGACAAAATAAAAGAGTAATGTCTAAAATCGAAGTTTGGTTATGATCTGACTTTCTAATAAAACCAAACAATAGAAGGCCAAAAAAGTAAGCAAAAAACTATTTCCATAATTGTTTTTAAACTGGTCAACCAAATTTGAAGCAGCTATTAAAGCAGATAATGCTCTTCTCTGGTTTTGAAGAAGTTACGTATTTTATAAATTTAGTGATTTCTGGTAACTTCTCATTAATCTTAGGCTAAGCGCCAGTTTCATTGCAAATGCAGAAAAATTTAATTACTTTCCGTTAAACTGATTTTAAGTTTGTAATTTCCTTTTGAAGAAAAGAGGCTCCAAACTGGTGCGCAGTATTTTAATAATGGCCATATAACGCTGTTTAGAGTTTCAGTAACATATCTGAATTCCATTTTTTAAACATTTTTTTATGTCAAGTATCCTAAGTACAGAATTTGCTTTAAGAGTATTTTCATTAATCACTAATTGAGGTTGTTGCTGCTAAGAAAATTCAAAGTTCTCTCAGCTAATAAATATCTAAAAGGATTGAATCTATCATTTTTGTCCTATTTGGTTAAATTTGGTATTGCAGCCTGTGAAACAATCTTTGTACTTAAGAAACTTTGTTTTGTTAAACTCTATGCATAATTATCGACATTTTATACTATTTGTCAAGTGTTGAATAATAGTATAAGATACAGATGACCTCTTCAACATAAACTTAGTTCTGAATATAGACCTAGTTAATAATTAATTTTATTTGAAAACTAACAGTTTATCATCACAAATAAAAACCTCAACGGAAGAAGTATCAGAGTCACACTTTTACTGTTTTGAGATAATTAATTTTTAAGATTTGAAACACCATTATGTAGCTCAATAGATTAAAATCTTCTATTCCCAAAATTTAAGACTTTAATTGTTTTTCGATAAGTCACTTCAGGTAGGCAAAGTATAAACCCAGGGCTACAACAAAAAGGAAAATTGCTCAAAAAATCAAATTTGTGACTCTGATCGTTCTTCCGTTGAGGCCTTCAAATAGTTTGCAAATAACTTTAACCAATTAATAAATGACCACACATTCAATGAGTCGCTTACTTGAGTTTATCATTCACTACCTTTTGTGAAAACAATAGGTTAGCATAAGTATATTAACATGTTTTTTCAGGCAAGTTTTTTTTTAATAAATGTACATCTTGAGCTGTGTTTCTCACGGTTCAGGCATACAACTTCTATTTTATCTTTTCATCAATATGTCAGAGTTTCTTTCACTTTATAAACTAAATCACAACCAACAAGGTTGTGAGCATTCACTAGTTGTTGTAAATTATCTGGAAAGAAAAAATACTGTTCAAGAACAACGATGGTTGACAGAAGACTTAAAATGTTGTATTTAATGATAAATGATGAAAGTTTAAGATCATTGATGTCACAAGTAAAGCAAAAGTTTTGAGTTTTTAATCATCAAGATAATTCAGTAAATATATATTCAAAAAAGTATTTATATTTTCGAGCTCGGTGAAAAACTAAAATAACCATTAAAATTATCAAAAAAGTATTTCTAATTTCTAGTTCGGTAAATTAGTGAAATAGCACTTCTAGCTTAAAATTGTACTTATCTATTTTTCAAAGGCATTATAATTAAATAAAGATATTATATTAAGTATAAAAATAAGTATATAAAAAACACTAACTCATTACACTGTGAGTGTTGTGATTTAGGGCTCTATTCTTTTTTGCTTAATCCGTCAAACTTAACCTAATTGCGCAGATCAGTACCTCTGATAAGTTGTATACAAAGCACTGATAAGTTGTATACCATTGTAAAACCTTCATAGAATTTAATTTAGTAAGATAAAGTATAGTCACAGAGAGATTTAGTTCTAGTTCTTCATTCACCATAAAGTTTAGGGAGAGTTTATATTTGTTTTTTATTTGTTCTAGATGGACATACTTTTTTTGACACCTAAGCTGTTGTTTAGTACTCTTGTATCATACAAAAATATTTATTTACTTATATACTTACTGAGGTCTTTGATAGTCCTGAATTTATCAATAACTACAACTTTAATTAGATATAGATCCTACTTTTTCTTTATTACAAAATAACATTTTATGAACGGTAAGATTTACATTTTTGAAAGACCAGAGCATTAATTAATATGTAAAAAGTCTTCCACAAAAAATACTTTATTTAACAATATATATATATATATATATATATATATATATATATATATATATGTATATATATATATATATATATATATATATATATATATATATATATATATATATATATATATATATATATATATATATATACATATATTTGTATATAAGCAATATTAAGAAGTTCTAGTATCTCTAGAAGTTATTAATATTGTTTATATTGAGTTATCTTTTGTTTGTTTGCAAATTACTGAATAATATATAAAACTGTTAGGTCTATCGCAAAGGTTAAAAAGAACATCACTTAAATAGATTTGAACTATATGCACACTAAATATCGGGTCCCTCACTATCCAATTGTCTAAGGTATGTTTTGTTTGTAAAAGTTAGCTTCATAACTGCAACTAAATCAAATGATATATATGAAATTGGTTAAGTTCATCGCGCTATTGTTTTAAAAGTACACACAGAAACAAAAAAACATATATTTTATGCAAACATAACAAAATGTGGAGCACAAGTTGTTTATATACTGACACACAGACATAGAAAAGTATATACATAAACATAATTAAAAGTATATATATAAAATATAATTGCACAATAAAGAAAATGAGCAAATATTAACATGCACCAGCGCAGTGTGTTCTTTACCTCTTTTAACTTTACAAATGTATCCATATCTATTATCGCAATTTTGAATATTCCAACTTAAAGTATTTATTACCACACATCTTTGTTCTGACATTGAAAAATCACTCGATTGATTAAATGTATTTTCAAATAGTATTTTTGGATTCCAGATAGAGTTATCAGACCAGACAAATTTCTTATAACTCACAAGATAGTTAAGACCTTTAAAAAAAATATCAACAATTACAAATAAATTCTACATAAATAAACATATATATATATATATATATATATATATATATATATATATATATATATATATATATATATATATATATATATATATATATATATATATATATATATATATATATATATATATATATATATATATATATATATGTATATATATATATATATATGTATATATATATATATAATGTATATATTTATATGTATATATATATATATGTATATATATATATATATATTTATATATATATATATATATATATATATATATATATATATATATATATATATATATATATATATAATGTATATATTTATATGTATATATTTATATATATATATATATATATATATATATATATTTATATATATATATTTATATATGTATATATATATATATATATATATATATATATATATATATATATTTATATATATATATATATATAAAGTTATATATATATATAAATTTATATATATATATATATATATTTATATATATATATATATATATATATATATATATATATATATATATATATATATATATATATATATATATATATATATATATATATATATATATATATATATATATATATATATATATATATATATAAATCTACTTTTGAATACCAAAGTACTGCTCAGGATAACCCAGCTAACACAAGACGCTCAATTAAGTTTTTTGAGTCAAATAATTTACTGTCAGAAAATCAATACACCTTTTGATCTTCTTTACGGCCAATTAACTGACTGCTTTGACTACAAGATTATTTTATGCATTATATGGTAGCGACGAGGCTAGGGCTATTGGTCTTGGTTTATTTAAAACTTTCAATAAAGTTTAGAATGATAGTCTACTCTATATGCTTGCTTTATTTGATGTATTTGGGAAAGTTTCTAAGATTAAAAAAACGTTTTATCAAAGTCAGTATCGAAGACCAATACTTTTCTTTATTTCCAACAACCACAAGAGTACCCTAAGATTCTATTCTTGGTCCTGTTTTGTTTCCTATCTACGTTTATTAATCTTCCTTTCAAATTTTATCAAAAGTGGCTGTATTTGTTAAACACTCATCTTTATATTTGATATTGGCCCAACTTTAGCTAATAAAACTCCAAAAAACACCTCAAACTTTGAATCTTATATGAAATCGATCAATACATCTATGAAAGAAGGAAAGTTAAACATAAATGAGTTGCGAAATGCATTCAGCTGTCTAAAAAGTAATAAATGCGCTGGAATAGATAATATTAACGTGAATGTTGTTAAAGCAGTGTTTGATACTATTGAACCGTCACTGTTTTACATTTTTAACCTATCAGTAGAATCTGGTATTGTGCCGGAGAAATTAAAAATTGCTAAGATCATACCTATTTTTAAATCTGGCGATGACACGATTATGTCTAATTATAGACCTATTTCTGTCTTACCATGTTTCTCAAAAGTGTTAGAACGAATTATGTATCATAGACTTAATACTTATTTAAATGAGAACAATATAATGTATAACAAACAATTTGGGTTCAAAAAGAATCATTCAACTGATCATGCGGTAGTCAATCTAATAAATTATATATCCAATAGGTTCAATAATGATTGCTATACATTTGGAGTTTTTATTGATTTGTCAAAAGCATTTGACATTGTAAACCACGATATTCTTTTAAAAAAACTAGAACTGTATGGAATACTTAATAATAACTTACTATGGTTTAAAAGTTACCTGTCAAACAGAAAACAATGCATATTATATACAGCAAATGAAACTGAAAATCATATTATAACTTGTGGTGTTCCCCAGGGATCAGTCCTAGGGCCGCTCTTATTCCTACTCTATATTAATGATTTATACTTAGCATATAAAGTTTTAAATGTTATTTTGTTTGCTGGTGATTCAAATTTTTTTTACTCACACAATAATATAAAATAACTGTTTAGAATATCTAACGAAGAATTA